GCAGGTATTCACGAGCGGCGAGAGGCGCTCCCTTTGGAGATTTGCTGGATATGCGTGCGCGACGGGGCTGGCGAGATGCGCGGATTGCCAAACTGTCGTTTGAAACGGCATCCGGAAGCAGCGTATCGTACGTGGCGAAATTACCACAAGAAAATTTGTTTCACTGGTTGGAAAACAAATCAGTAATTAGAGTTCTTCAAAATATGTTTCTATTTTCATTTCATTGGTATATTGAATCAATAACGATGTAATGAAACGAGACATGTATATGTGTTTTATGCTAAAATATAGTACATTCAAAATTATGCAAACATAGTATATTTATGTTTATATTTTAAACATATTCAGAGAAACATAATTTGGAAAAATGCTATTTCCAAAATATCACGAGATGATTTCCCTTTTATATGTATTACAGACAAGAACAATTAAATTGTGCGTGAAGACCAGGCGAATAATAACACATTCAAACATGCGATTCAAACATACTTCGCTAATCACGTGTTGAAGCGAATTTCTTCTTTTCGTCAAATTTCTTTGTGCATTTGTTTTCCTTTGGCCATTTCTCGCCAGATGAGGGGAGAGTGTAAAATCTGTAATGAATCTGTAATGATATTAATTTATATTCCTTTTATATTGTATTGCATATTGAATTATATACATTTATGAATGATATATGAACATGAATTATATTTATTTCTGTTACTTATGGTCCAAGTATAGAAATGTTGATGCTTCGATATACTTCTTAGGGTAACCTTGGAAAACAGAATAAATACCGTGACCTACGAAATATATTTGTATTTGAATTTCGTATGTGTGTCCAACCCTTCGACTACTGTACCCTCAACCAAAAAGACACTTTACAGACTTGCCTACTTTGCACAGAACGGGGACTCTGGACAGCTCAGGAAAACAAAGGAGACGGCCAGACTTTTCCCCTACGCATCTCGCCGCAAAACATCGCCGATATTCTGCAGAGTTGGAAATGTTTATGATTGGGTTGGGGGAAGCTAGGTTTTTTCTAGCTGTCGAGCGCAAGCCTTCGTCTAGATGTTATCGGGACGTAGCGTGCACGTAACATGTACATAGGATTGCCAGCAGGAGGCAGTGCCCACGCGAAGCCCGCGGCTAACAAGCACCCGCCGGCCCTTGTTGCAGGCGAACGGCCGTATAAATGCCATCTCCCGGAGTGCGGACGGGCCTTCATCCAGCTGTCGAATCTGCAGCAGCACCTGCGCAACCACGACGCACAAGTGGAGCGCGCAAAGAACAGACCTTTCCACTGCAACATCTGTGGAAAAGGCTTTGCCACGGAATCTAGCCTACGGACACATACGTCCAAGGTATGTGGAGTAAGTTTCTCGACGATTTTTTACTCAAATTCAATATTAAATTATAATATAGTCTTTATAGTGTCCAAGACGGTTCTTGAAGAATGATTTTTTAATTCTTTGTTTTTGGACATTCCATGTGCTCGTGGAATGTGGTGACAACCAGTTTGTGTCAATTAAGCAAACAATATTTTATCACGTATTTGTTTATGGGGCTGTTAATGTTACAGCATTCGTCAAGGACAGTTTTGGACAAATGAAATCAAAAGTAAAGATTTCAATCAGATTTGAATATTAAATATTTTAATAGATTGATTTTCTGTAATTCTTATCCAGAGATATTGAATATTAAAATAAATTTTATCAAGTAATAGTTTTCTAATTAATTTAATTTTTCAATATTCCTCTGCTTTCTAATAAAATCTTTCAATATTTAAGATCTGAAGTATAAAGAAAAAAGCTATTTTGAAAATTAAAATCTTTTATAGAAAGTATTTGAGTTCAGTCGATTCATAATAGATTCAATCATTTTAGATTATGTGTATCATACCTTTTGTAAACGACACTTTCAAAATTTAACTGTCAAAAGAAATACGGTAAGCAATTTGATTTAGGCCAGATTAATTTGAACAGTCGATTTGGCAACGATTCCTAATGTGTAACCCTGCTCTTTACGGAGGGTATGATGCGCCCTAGATGTAAGTGGCATTCCCTCTAGGCCGAAGCCTCCGTGCAAAAGATTCTACGTGACTGGTACTTTGGTAATTTCGTATCGTTCGTTCCTGGAGGCGACGGGCGGCGCACGCAGGCTTCGGCCGGAGGCGCGCGAGCGGAGGGCTCCTCGGGCCAGGCGGCGCCGGCTGCGAGGGGCGCTCCGGCGGCTGGAAGTGGGAGGCCAATACCGCACTAGGCGCCAGCAGCCGGAAACACGGTGGCTCTCGTGCCCGACCACTGGCCCCGCACCCACGCTTTGGGCGTTGCTGGGGCCCGCACCGAGTGTTCCCTTCTGCTGCCCTAGCATTGGCCTTTCTCGTCCAGTGTTGATGTTGTGTCTGTGTCGTAGTAGTAGTTGTTGTTTTTATTTATTTTTTTAATTTTTTTATTTTGTTAATTTAAGAGTTTCTTTTTGTTTTGTTTTTATGAGCCATACCTGTTCTCCTGTGCACACTACATTCGTTGTACAAATTATCACTGAGTGCGGAAAATGGAATTGCTGCCATGAAAGTCAGTCAGGCGACTGCGGACTAGACTCCTCTGCGCCCATTCTGCACTTTAAAACACAATTTTCTTCGTATGTTTTTCACCACTAGGTCATCTGAAAACGTTCCAACTGGTATTATGTATATTATGGATTATTGCAATAGTAATATATCAAATTTCTTTGACATACAAATAATCGTTTATCTTGAAATGTAAACTGGTTAGTGCGTTAAAAAATCCATGCATATTTGCTCTCTTTTATTTCTTTTTAGCTGAACTATACTTTTATTAAGTGATATAATTATCAGGTATCACGATAAATATTTCACGTTCTGAAAGTCTGTCGTTTAATAATTTATGTTCACATTCCGTCTCCATTTAGGCCACTTCTGAAGCCAATGCACTGTTCCAGTTGCACAGTGACCCGCGACAAGAAAAGATTGAAAATAAGAAATAAGTAATATTACAAAGGGTAAGACGGTTTAAGGAGGGATAGAAATGATTATACACTGAACTGAGCGAAGGTCAGATTTTCATTAATGATTACTTCAACTGAACAGTACCAGAAACATCTGCCCCCAAATCCTTCATTAAAAACTACACTAGCGAAAGCACAAGCATTCTGAGTGGTTCTCTTTCTCTCTCTTACGGAGGAATCATAAATAAAGAATTATAAAGAACGGATTATGCGTTTCTAAGAAATAACTTCTACAAAAAAATTGAATTATTCCCTGACTATCGCCATTTATATTCGACTTTTCCGTTTCAAGACAAATTTTGTCTTCTAAGAAAAATGAATACTGGTTTTCTATTCAGAGAAATATTAATGCGGTTATCTAATTTTAAAATTTTGCACAAACGTTTTATAAAAGTTTTTGCGTTATGAATTTAATTAACTAAAGAAATAATTTTATCTCTAAAAAAAAGTAAATCATCAGCGTCCATGAAATAGCGAAAACCCAATAGATTCAGCTTCATGCGTCTATAACAATAATTGACTGCAATAGTAGCAATGATAATTGTTTGTCACATTGCCCTTTCGTGAATATTAAATTCACGTGACCACTAAGTGTCAAATTGTCCTGCATATAGTGATTTAAATTATCCTCGTTTTCTGGTGTAGGCGGTGCTGTTGAACAAATAAATTTCTATCCGTGTTTTCTTGTATCTGAAGGAGAAAGGAGAAAGCGCGGGCTTCGTTTCACATGATATCTTGCGGTTCGAATGACGTTCTGTTGCTGACACCTTCTTTCATTAATTTGTGGGAAAAGGCTGCGCACACTCTGCGGACGAAGCGAAGTGCAGTGGTTGGGCCAGCATAACGATACCGCCGGGATGGTCCCGACGACCTGGCGCAGTCATGCCGTAATTGCACCCTCCCCGCCTCTTCCCAACCTTTCTCACCCTTTTCGTCCTTCCTGTTGAGACAAAGGTGAAAACAGGCCGCACATTCGGGCAGGCGACGTGGGAGGCAGCTGCCGCCCGTGAGGAGAAAATAGAGCACCGTTGTCGCAAGCGACTACCACACCTACACGCCCCCTCGCAACGTAGATCTCAAAGCGGGGATCACATTTTGACTACGTTGCTAAATACTAGTAGATAACTCGATTTTGCGACTACGAAGATCATGTAGACTTAATTATTTATTTACGAATTGCAGGTGTGCAAGTTCTATTAATTTATTATGATTCAGTTGAAAAATTTTACGTATAATATTCTATTTTCATTAGATTATTCAGAGAAATTCAAACATACATTGTTCATAAAAGTATTCACTTACTGGCTTCTTTATGTTACAAATAAGGCGAAAGAAAATAAGTCAGTAAATGAATTAATTTTTTTTTAATTTATTCATATCCTGCTCGATGTGGAGATTTCGTAAATAGAAAATTCTGCCGTACTCCTACCATCTCGTCTTGCAGCCAGCATTTTTTTACGAACACGAGAAACAATGTTTCCCGGCCTCCTCGCGAAGAGATTTTTTTAGCCTATGCCTGCGGTTTCTAAAAATTGTTTGAAGCCACAAGCAATAAATAAAACTGCCGAGGTACTCTTACATCGTCTGTATTGACAACCGTTAGCTTCTTGGGGACTTGAGGGCGGGCATCTCGCTGCGCAGACGAGCTCGGAGGGCGG